CTGCAGATGGCATTAAATTAAGGATTTGGTGACGAGGAGATTGTCGTGGGTTATTGGGTAAGCTTACTATAATCCAATGATCCCTAATATATTGGAAAGCAGGACTAATCAGTTTTGAAGATACTATACCCTGTCTTGGAAGGTGGAGGAAGGAGCCAGAAGACAAGGGAGATACAGGAAGTCTTTAGAAGCTGGATAGGAAGTGGGGTTCTCCCCCAAAGCCTCTCAGAAACAGCAGAGTCACCAAAATGTGACTGTAACTGAGTGATCTGGCTTCCCAAACCAGATGTTAAGCCCCTGGTCAGCCACCGGGGTTGTGGGAAGTTATCAAAGCAGCAAGTCCCCATTTGTAAATCTAATCTTTACACGAAACATACAAAGTCTGTAAGATGACACTCTGACCTCGAAAAGCCAAGACTATCAAACTGAAAAGTTTCTATGCCAGTCTCTCCTTGGATTTGGTTTTAGGGTGCCCTGAAGCTAAGTAAGGCTCTTTTCTCAGCCTTTCCATAGGTCGCTGCAGATTGACTATTCTGGATTCAATATTGCTGTCAGAAAATAAAGAACAGACGCGCAGAGCCACTTTTCAAAGTCATAAACGTGGAGATTGCATGAGCCCCATTCCATCAAGATAGTCTCATCTAGAATCAAGACGCTTGCTTTCCAGGATGAAGGCTGTATTGTCCAGTCAGCACTAAGACAGAGATGCTGCTGTGGGCTAAAGGGAGGGAGAAAGAATGAATCTCTCCCCCCTGGGAGTACAGAGTAAGAAAGAGCGAATAATGGGCAGGAGAGACTCATTTAGTCATTTAATTCTGTGTGGGTAAGCAACATCTGTGAGAAAGTTGCCTTTTCGCTCAACTTACTGATGCCCAGAACCACACCAGAAGGAGGCATAAACACATCACAGTGAAGCGAAGGGAGAGGAGAAACTCGAACTACAGGCAGCAGCAAGACCTACAGAGATTCCGGCCACTGCTCTAGTTCCCAACACTGAAGCAGGAGGCCCTCTACATTCCTGCGCTCATATCCTTGTCCTGTCTCCTGCAGTGATGAGAACTGATTCCTATGACAGTCAGTTCCGCATTCGGGATGATGACTTCCTGAGAGAGTGACTGGTTAGCAGTAATTTTTTATTGGCACCACTTGGTCCTAGCTGTTTGCTTGTACGTTTGAACCAGGGGTTTAACAACAGGCGAATAGTAGAAGGCACTGCCAGCCAGGTTTTCACGCATTCAGTGCATAGAATTCCGGAATCAGGGAGACTGGAGAGTGTACACCAGGGTCCTGAAGACTCTTCACATGAAGCCATAGTTGAGAATGACAGGCTTGCACCTACTCTTCATAGTTACAACATCCTCACCTGAACCTCGCTTTCTTAGTTGTGGCTGTCAACTATTCCTCTAGAGCAGAAAGAAGAAAGCAATTTGAAGCTACTAGGAGGAGCTTCGGGGAAGAAACCCATAGAAACATAGAAAGCATTCCGAGAAGACTCAGCAGCTCAGCCCAATAGTGGGATTCCTTGATTTCTTCCACAATTAAATAAACCTCTTTAACAATAGACACATTTGATGTCATCAAAAGTATATTTAGAAAACTTTTGTTCTTCAGACGCCATGGGGAAAAAAGCAAACAAGCGACAACCACCAAAAGGGAGAGACATTTACAAGCCAACTACCTGATAAGGGTCTCGTATCCAGAGCATGCCAGGAACTATTATCCTTCAATAATGAAAACAGAAATAATACAAGAGGTACAAGAAGGTCTTGGACTCTGGCTCCACTGGTACGGTGCTTGCTTGCCTTGCATGCATGAAGGCTTGGGTTCGATACCTGGCACCTGCCGTGGTGGCACACACATGTAACCTCAGCACGTGGGAGGTAGACACAGGAGGGTCAGAAGTTTAAAGTTACCTTCAACTACATGGTAACTTCGTGGTCAGTCTGGGGTACACAGCAGCATATTTCTAGGTAGATAAACAGAGAGGCACACAGAGACAGACAGACAGATGGAATAAAAATAAACTAGAGACTTAAAGACATATTTTTCTAAAATAGATGTATAAAAATATAATCAGCTTTTTCTTCCAATATCTCCATAGAACTTATAAATTAATACTTTATTAACCACGACTTTTTTCAAATTTATAAAATTTACTAGCGTTTTACTTTGAATTTAAGTTGCTCAAATTCAGAAAGCACTGGACTCATGGGGCAGCTGGTTATTTAGGTAAAGCCTCCTAAACATGTCCCCAGATTCTGATTCTGAGGCTTTGGTGGGTGGCTGATGGATCTTCATTTTATTCTTTCAAAAACATCATGTTGAGAGATGTTGGTAGCTGGATTGGTTCTGGACTGTCTAAAACATGACCCTGGCCCTCACTCATAGCAATGACTTTAGCCATCCTTCCTAAAGAGATGATGAGATTCTTCTGGTTTAGGAGCCAATGAAGTTGCTAACTAATAATTAGAGTATCAATTACAAGGTCAACTGATATAAACTGAGTTCATGCTATGGAGTGGATCAGATCAGGATACTTAACTTTAGGGGAGAAAGATGGTAACTCTGCCATAGTGATGAGACCATGGCCAAGGGGTCTCCAAGACTCTAGAAAATAATTGAGGTTTTGAGGGAGCCTGGCCCTCCCAGCACTGTGTCAGGGACAACCTGAGTGGAAGATGATTTTACCCCTATGAGGACTTGTGTGAGCTCAGGACACAGAAATTGCAGGATTTGAATAAAATGAGTTAAAACAACAAACATGGCCCAGCCTTGGGAAGCTTCTTTCAGCTGTCAGTTTGACACTATACTGGGCAGAAAACCCCATGCAAAGTAGGGACTTACACAAAACTAAGGAGATGTTAGTCAAAGTAGGAAAGCTTCCAGTTAGAAAATGAGTAGACTGCACACTAGCGCCCAGCGAGGTGACTATAGCTAATGGTAATGCTTGCTTGAAATCTGAAGAAGACAGAGTCTTAATGAGAGAGAGAGAGAGAGAGAGAGAGAGAGAGAGAGAGAGAGAGAGAGAGAGAATGGTTGTGTAATTAGCTTGATTGTGGTAAGACTTTCACAAAATATGTGTACTGAAGCATCTTGTTCTATGCTGTGAAAAGACACCGTGTCCACGACAACTCTTATAAAGGAAAACATTCAACTGGGGTGGCTTACAGTTTCAGAGGTTCAGTCCATTATTGCGGTGAGATGTGGGTGTCATGCACTCAGACATAGTGCTGGGGAAGTAGCTGAGAATTCTACGTCTTGACTCGCAGGAAATAAGAAGTGAATAGTTACACTGGGTGTAGCTTTATCATAGAAGCCCACCCTTACAGTGATGTACTTCTTTCAGCAAGGCCACACCTCCTAATAGCGCCACTCCCTTGGAGGCCGTTTTCTTTCAAACCCCACCTCATATTCTTTATATAAATACAATTTGAATTTGTTGCTTACATTTGGGGAAAACCATAGCATATAGGAGACTACTTGATTGCATAGTCTTCTGGATGTTTCGAGCCCTCTCATCAACTGGACTGGCCTGTGTTCCCCTTTCTGTTTTGACTTCAGCCTGTTTCTACACTAATTCATTATTCACTTCAGCTTTGCCTCTTGTCTCCAGAACCTGCACTTCCTAGTTTATCATTTCTCTAAGAACCCCGCCCCCCCCAAGCCAAGTTCAGCATCACATGGTTGAAGGAGCTTTGTCTGCTCACATGACCCTACACCCTCTGTACTTGTGATACCCTCTGATGCACTTGACTGGCAGGGTCTAGGGGCTTCATTTGCTGCCTTTTCTTCTTTCCCATGTCCTGCTTTGGATTTATGTGATTGGCCATTCTACTCTTGGTCATACTGTGTCAAATCCCCATCAATCCTTATCTTATGGGATTAATGAATGAATACAAAGTGGACCTCTTCACACATGCCAGTTCTAATTGATTATTAATGGATGCAGCAAGTGTGGTGTTAGAGAAATAGCAGTGGATGCTGGCATGTAATTCTCAATTGGCCATGCCTGCTTCTGTGAAGATGTGTGTAGGGTCTTTGCTGTGCTTTGAATGAGAACTGTCCCCCAGAGGCATATGTATTTTAAGACTAGGTCCCCAGTTGGTGCTTTATGGCACCACGAGGATGTGACACCTTGTTGGAGGAAGTATATTACTGGGATGGGTTTTGAGGGTTTGCTACACTGGCCCCATTTTCTGTTTCTCTCTGTGCCTTTTGTGTGCGATGGAATGAGATCATTGTGCTTCCTGAATGGCAGGCCAGCCTCATGCTCCTACTGCCACGCCTGCCACCACATGAATGGACTGGATTCCCTTTGAACTGTGAGCCAAAACAAACCTTTTATTTCCCAAAAGTTACTTTTTGTCAGGTTCTTTTAAGACAACAGAAATGTGACCAATACAGTCTTGCCTTTGAAAAGACAGCCATCTTTGGGAGGGGCAGAGATTTCTTCTTTTTTCCAAGGTTGATATCTTGACTGAAATGCTTGACACAAATCTTTTTTTTTTTCTACCAAACTCCAATATTATAGTTACCATACTTTTTTGAGGAAACACAACGGCCTTTTCCATTCATGTTTGCTAAAGAATATCTGCCACTTAGAGAACTGTGGGGATTATGCCACTTCTCCAAAGAGAAGATAAACTACCAAAGTCTTCAGCAAAATCTATTTTGTAGCTGCAGCTTGGGAAATGAATATAAAATATCAACATTATAATCTCAGGTTGGAAAGCATAGCTTCCATGTTGAGTTGTTTCCTCATTATTAATGATCTGTTGCTTCCCTTTTGTTGTCTTATTGCCCCCAGTCACTGGTCTCTCAGGATAGAATGTTGCCTTTATTTTTAGTTGAAATAAGCCTATCCCAATTGTGAGATCTCCACCCAGAGGTGAATTCCCACTCACCACATGAAATCAGAACCCAACACACCAAATCCCAGGCCATGTCCTACATCACTTGATATCCCTATAACTGTCATTGTCACAAAGAGATTATCTTACCTTGTAGTGGAAGAGAAAGAGTCCACAGAACAGGCTGTACAGATCTGCTGTGAGCAGAGAAAGGTTGACGGAGGCGGCGCTTGTTTTCTTTATGACAACTGGCATAAAGCTGTAGAGACCAAACATGCACGCACTAAAACCAACATAGAGAAGTCCTGGGGAGCAAAGAAAAGACAGTGTCATGGCCTCTGCAGGGCACCTTCAGCATCCAGGCTTGGAGGATAAGGGGTGGGGTACATCATCCATGACTCACTATAGGTAGCTTTTTTGCTTTCACTACACTGTGTGGTGTTTAATATAGGCTGATATATAGATAAAACACAAAATGGGACCTTAAAATTTGTGCTTGGAAAATTCATGTTCTTTGCATGTAGGTGAAACCATGCTGTTTCCAGAAAAGCATTTTGGTGGCAATATGCAAGGGCTTCCAACGTCTACTCCAATTCACTACAACTAGAGGCAGTTTTAAGACTACTCCCACCTCGCCCAAGTGTGTGTGTGTGTGTGTGTGTGTGAGAGCATGCATGCGTGCGCGCGCGCACACACACACACACACACACACACACACACACACACACACACACACACAGTACCTGCCTGAGAAGGTCAGAAGAAAGCATAAGACTCCCTAAAGCTGGAGTTGAAGCCCATTGTGAGTCTCCCCAGCATGGGTGGAGAGAACCAAATTTAGGTCCTCTGCAAAAACAACAAAGTTACTTTAGCTGCTGAGACATCTCTCATGCCCTGTTCATGTATTTCAAAATATTTTTAACCTCTTAGGTTTTATTTGCAAAACAGGAATGAAATATACTATGTACTGCTCTCAATAGTAAACTCCAGTTACTGACTTTAGAGACCTGAACTTGGACTACCAAGCTGAAGACTTAAACTATGGCTTTGGGCAGACAATGGGATTGTTTTTGAACATAGGAAATCTGTTAATTTCTTTAAAATGAATGAATTCTGCTCATCTCCACCTCCAAAGGAATTCAGTGTTACCCTCTGCCAGCTCTTCCAGGCTACCGTGGACTCTAGACACACCATTGTTAATATGAATTCTGTAAATATAAGTTTCAATTGTATATATCAGGGTTCTATAGGTAACTGCAGGCTCCATCATTTTCCAGACATCGTGGTGATACAGATACACAAAATCATGCTCATTTCTCTGCCTGTTCTCTGAAAGAATAAGACATGATCCAATTCTATGGTTCTCTGAGAATTATAAGTAACTTTTCCAATGAAATCTTGGATTCAAGGTGGCTGGTATAGAATGTGAACACTGCTTCCTTTGAATCCTTGGAATTCAGGGGAACTTGGTCACAATCAGATGTCCAGTTCCTCTGATTAAGACTGGCGATTCTTCCATTGTTTGGCTCCTAGGAAAGATCCTAAAGGGCACAGAGCTTACTCTCGCTTTCTGATCCAAAGTTTAAAGAAAGCTACATACTACATCAGACACATATAAAAATCATTGTGACCATTAAGCAAATAGTACAACAGCCCCCTCTAGTGTGGTGGACATACCCTCCACACCAAGAGGAATAAGATCCCTACTTCTGGGTTCAGTAAGCAAGGAGACCTCATTACATGTATACTTTATGCCAAAGTGCTAGTAGGTGGTGTGTGACTTGGCATCAGAAAACTTAATTCCATAAAATAGTCCATTTCCTTTCACTTGAGTCTCAAGTTATTTATAGATTATTTTCCTTTTAACCAACCTATAAAAAATACAACAAATACTGAACAACCTGTGACTAATACATAAAAAGACTGAGAATTAATTCAGTATTCCTTAAGAATCTGCTATTAATAGACTAGGAAAAGTTCTATCCTTAAATTATTCTACTGAAGATAATCAAATTTGGGTAGATGATAATCCAGACACACCAGAGGCTTTCCATCCCTCCCTCCCTCCCTCCATCCCTATCTGTGTGTCTTGGGTATCATTGATTTAGCTTATAGGTTGACTGTGCTAATAAGTTCTAGAATTCTGGCCCTCCATCTTATTACCTGGTAAAACATACATGGCCAGTATGTTGTGGGCTCTGATGCTTTGTATCCACTCTCTTTTTCCCCTAACTCTTCACTGCGAATCTAGCATGCCATGGACCCTCTGCTTTGGGCTAGGAATCCGTCAAAATGGGGAACAGACAAGAAGCTTAGAGCTCCTCAAAGTTATAGAATGAAAAGATTGGCCAGGGCTTGTCTCAGCTAAGTCTGCTCTGCCAAGGTGGCTTTTACTTTGAATGTGAGAAGTAGGAGGACATTAAAGGAGACAGAAATGTCTACCTGAAAAGATTCTCAGGGAGGGTAATGTTATGGTTTATTCTAGGGTGTTCCAGAGGCCAGAAGGACTGAATAATAACAATGAGGTAGAGAAATTAGAGAGGCTGTAAACCATGCAGAACCCTGTGTGTCTTAGAAAGAGATTTCTAATTGCAATAGGAATCTCCTGAGCGGCTTGCACCAGTGATGCAGCACAATCTGATCTGCAGTTTTAAAAGATGACTTTGGCTGCACTTTGGAGGAGGAACGGAATGGGACAGCATGAGAAGACAGCAGCAAGAAGATGGCATCTGTGTCCAGCAGCAAAGGCCTGTGGCTCACTTGAGGAACAAAAGGGAAGTAGCTGGGTCTGTGAATACTGAGCCAACTGTTAATGGTTTGAAGGCAAAGAAAGAGTGGGGGGGGGAAGGAGAGCATCAGGGAAATGATTGACTCTGTACTGTTGCAAAGGGGTGAATTGTGGTGCCATTTACTGAGATGAAGAGCAATGAGAGGATAGGTTTGCAATGGAAGTGAGACAACTCTTGAATGTGTTGGTTTAGGTAATTACTCATCATTCATGTGGATCTGTCTAGCCAAGTGCTGGATGTGTCATGGCAGGCTCAGAGAAGAGGCGGGACTTTCAAACCCACATTTGCTGACCGAAGTAGAGTAGGAGCACAGCTATATAATAAACCCTCCCCCTAGGAATCTTGGCCAACTTAGGATGGTCCCCGTTTAAACATTCTATGTGGGTTTTGTAAAGTTGTTGAAGTCAAGTGTGGGTAAATCACACCATCATAGCTGACTGTTTCTGCTAAGCCAGCAAGGGCTTTTGTGTGTGGATCCCCTCTTTTGTGAGTCAAGCACAGCCAGTCAGATGAACACATAATTAGAGGAGGAATGAAGGACTGCCACATCTTTCCCATCTCCTCTTCTGAGGCAGACATTTGGTAGTTAATGGACATCAGCAGTTCATCTCAAGACTCAATTTGCCATCCAAGGAGAGTTTCCAATCAATATACAAGATCAAACAAGTGAACTATTTTTGGCTAGCAAATACATAATGATTGCAGCAAGTACACTTATAGACAGAACATGTATATAACCATTTCTTATTTGAAAGGCGTTTTTCTCACTAAGTTTAGAGCTTGGTGTCTTTTGTCTTCATGCACTTGAAGAGACTTAAGGTGGAGACACTGAAGATGACATTACTGGCTAATCCCTATGGGGTCTTTACTACGAGTCATGGGTGGCATGTGCATTAGCTAATCTAAAAAGCAATGCAATTGAGTTGCTGTCGCTATTGTAGATGGGAAATAGATGTATTGATTATGTTGCTGAAGAAACCCAGCCCAAACTGGATTGAGCAGAGGTAATTTAAGGGAACACCTGCTACAAACACCTTTGAATGGGTGACAGGGAAACTGGGATGGAGAGGCAACTAAAGAGTAGCGATAGCTATAAATTATACCCCATAATGTAGAGAGACAAAGGCAGAAGTTGTACTACCTAGTGGAGTACCGCAGAGGAAGATCACAACGGATTCAGCTGTATCTGGAGACCTGACCACAAAGAGTATAGAATAAGGAAAAACACCACTTTCTTTCTTCTTTCTTCATCTCATCTTCCTCTACTTCCTCTCACCGACCAAACCTGTCCAGCCTGGGAAGGATTATTTGTATGTGCAGAACAGGAGGTGTAAGAAACAGGCCAAGGGCCTCTCCCTCAGATTTCATGGGCAGTATGAGTTCTGGGTACATGCCACTGATGTCCTTTGATGTGTTATTCTGAAGATAAAGGGAGAAGGGACATCCTATGGACATATTACTATTTCATTTTGCATATGTGTATACATATGTGTACATAGTGTTTGTCTGTTTGTGCTACAGGTATTCTATCTCCATCTCCTTTTCCTTTGAGGTCCTACTGGTCCTCTGTCTTCCCTTTGCATAGACTAGGCAAGACATTTTTATTAATAAAAGCAAGATAATGATTTCTCGGAATATATGTATTAAGTCAAACATATCAAGAGCATTGGGCTATGTGGATCGCTAAGACAATAAGGCAAAGCAAATTTGTTCTATCACAGGACACTAAAAACTTGGTCAAGTCATCTCAGAAATGCAGGTATAAATTTCAGTCTTGTACGTACATTCTGTTGTGTGCCTCGGTGTACAATTCTCTCTCTCTCTCTCTCTCTCTCTCTCTCTCTCTCTCTCTCTCTCTCTTTCTCTCTCTCTCTCTCTGTGTGTGTGTGTGTGTGTGTGTGTGTGTGTGTGTGTGTGCATGTGTGTAGATCAAAGATTAATATCAAGTGTCTTCTCAATCACTTTCCAATTGATTTTTTGAGACAGGAAGTCTTGAGAAACTCAGAGCTCCCCAGTTTAAGTGGGCTATATGGGCAGTAAGGCCCCAGGTTCTTCTTGTCTCTGTCTCCCAAGTGTTGAGATTACAGTCACACTCCACCATGACTGGCTTTTCCCCTGCATTCTGGGGATCTGACTTTAGGTTCTCATAGTTTTCAGCCATCACTCTGCCTACTGAGCCATCTCCCACAGCATCCTCAATGCTTGCTGAAGGAACCTTCGGAAGTTCCCTGCTCTGTGAATACATGATTCCATTGCCAGGTGGGGTAGCGAACCAGTCCCTCAACTGTCACATCAGATGGGAAAAGGTACCTTCATGGAAGCAAACCTATTTCTCTTGACCTCCAGAGCATCCTTTCTTCCACATCTGATTTCGTAGCAGTTTGCATTTGCTCATATGCTCATGAATACAAAACGGCACATGAGATAAAGGGAATATTTAAGTTGTGTACCAGATTTCTGGCTGTGAGCCTAACGCTCCTGCTCCGGGGGAGGACAGTTTGACTGCATTAAGTCCTGTGTTTTACTTGAGTTTACTGATTAGATAATCACAAGCAATCTCTCTGCTCAGTAGAGTAAAACAAAGGAATAAAAACAATGATAGCCATTATCGTCTTGCTTTTAATCGCTCTATCTTGAAATTAGTCCATACACTGTATAAAAACAATAATCCATTAAAAATAATCTTCATATCCAGAAAATAAAAACCACTTATCTCTCTGCTTACACCATAGTAAAAAAATTTTTTCTCTGCATTGATAACATAGGAGTTGCCTCCAGAGATTCTGTGAGGTATATAAGAGCTGTAGATAGAGGGGGAGACTTCACTATAAATGAGGATAGTCTTGGATTCTGTGTCCCCATCCCCCCATGTGTTACTGGAAACTGATCTTAGGTCCTTGAGCATACCAGGCAAGGCCCTACCTATAAACCGCATTCCAGCCATCCTAGGATTCTGTTCTCTTAATCAGAGCAATATGTGCCTTTCTCCAGGACACAGCCATGAAGGGTAAGGCTCTTGATTCCCTCTTGGCTGACCTCCTGAAGTGTGCGGGGGAAATATGACAGGATGATGATCTCCCTCAGTGTCTCTCAGATCTTTTGGTCCATGAACGTCAGTGGCTGCTTTGCCATTCCTCAGTTACTCAGAAGGCAGTGCAACATCGTCTAAAACCTCTGCTCTTGTCTCTCTTTCCCTTTGGTTCTGATGATTACAACAGAGACCCGTCTTTTCCGCTGCCATTCACCCACCTGCTCATTTAGAGATCATTGGTTTCCTGAGTGCCGGATGCTTACGGCTAAGCTAGGCAACCAGACCCTGTCTTGTAGCTCATCAGAGTAAGCCAACAGGAATAAAGGCGACTATGGTATGAAACCTCTAATTCAAGCAAGCAAGTGCTTCAGAAAGGGGAAAAACGAATACTCGATCCTATATCGAGGCCATGTTGGCTTCATTTCATACCAGGAATTAATTTAATGACCCCGTGATATGTACCTTTTACACAGTCTTTATCATCTTGAGCTGCAGGGGCCTGACATCTTAACGGCAATATGAGCGCTCAGGCTAACACTACCTTGTGACGGCACATTTAACTAACACTGAATTATAACCGAGTCTCGGCGGACATGCACAGGACATCTACATAATTAGAGGACAAATTCCTTTTGATTACTGCCATTACCATCAATATCGAATTAATTTATCCTCCCAGACCACTGCGGGTGAAGCGCTGTGAAGGATGAGTCGCGGTTAAGAGGCCTGGCTTTAAAAGTCACAGAGGCACACGCGTCTGGTCCCTGCAGCTGGTTTCGTTCCCAGCCGCCCGCTTTGCTTCCCCCTCCCTCCTCTCTATTGGTTTTCATTTAATCCTAACGTTTCCTATCCGTACTCGAGAAACAAACAAGTGGAGGATTCTGAAACACACAAGGGCTAACCCTTGTTTGGAGTCGTGGAGCTAACTAACCTAGCAAGTCATACAAACGTCTGTCACTCGGTCAGCCACCAGGGGGCATAGTACTGGTAGTAAATCAGTTCCGGATGCCTGTGAACTGGCGGTGGATATAGTGGTCCAGGGATCTCTCTGTCACTGGTGTCTTTCTCAGTGGAAGAGAAATATACTGGAGCTGTCACGTATACCAAAGCCACCTATATTGGAGGTGGGGAGCAGCACCTGTATGCCCCCCAACTCTGATTGATATTTACACTGCACACATATTTCAAGAACTACCCTACCTGGCCTAAACCAGGGATTCTCAACCTTCCTAACGCCAAGACCTTTTAATAAAGTTTCACATGTTGAAACCCCAATCAAAAACTTATTTTGTTGCTACTTCATAACTGTAATTTTGCTACTGTTATGAATTGTAATGTGAATATTTGACATGGGACTTCCCCAAAGGGGTCTTGACACAAAGGTTAAGAACCTCTGGCCTAAACTCAAGCCATGCTCACTGCTGGTATCTGTTGCTTCAAGACAGACTGTATGAGTGAACTGAAGGGCATTTCTTACTAGGGCTTGCAGAATGGTTATCCATTAGAGTATCACCATAGATCTGAAAACCTTACCCTAAATTTAGTTTTAGAAGAAAATGAGTTTAGAAAGAGGCAGAAGCTATGATGCCCTGGATGTCTATGGAGCAGTCAAATGCCTGTCCAGTAATTTCAAGGCCGGTTAGAGATTATTTAACAATTTCTTTAGTATAAGTACTCCCTTCTGAAAAGGTTCAGAGAAACCGGGAATGTCCATTACACAGCTTCTTCTTAAGCCTTTTGCTGAGTTCAGTTTTCCCCTTCCCTAAAGTGCTGGGTTTTAATGTTCACATCGATTCTGTATTTCGTGGCTGGAGCAAATTGCTCTCATTTCTGTGCCACTACTGCCTCGGGCTTTTCTTTTCTGCTTGGTCTTTAACCTAATAACACACTTTTGTGTCTTCCATAAAACACCTTGACAGTGTTAACGGGCAGAAGCTCAGGCAGGGAACCAGGTGATTCAGGAAATCCAGTCTCTTATTGTGTGAAGGGCTTCCCAACATGGCAAGGTAATTTTATTTTCTTTGGTCCCCTGTCGTTCTAAATCCCTTCCTTGTCTGCCCCATCCATCCCTTCTCACACAACTTTTCAAACACATTTCTCAGATTTACTAATAAAACCATAATCTTAAATGAGTAGATCCCTACCTATTTGCCAATCCCAGGGCACCTTTAGCAACTCCTTGTGTTCCATGATGGCTCTGTAGAGACAAAGGAAATGAGCAAGATGATCACACACACTGTTTCTCTTGTCTGTCATTTTACCATATCTACACAAACATTAGTGCAATCAGTTGAACTTCAAAATTAAATTGGCCTCTGCAGAGGCCGCTGGTGGTCTCCCTTGAAAGGTCTTGCGAGGTGTGACCAGCAGCAATGAGGGTCTGGGGGAGTTGAAACCACCCTGCTCTCAACCAAACAGGCTTCGAGGATTTAGCTTTGTTTTGTTCATGAGCTTTTGGGGAAGTAAATGGCAAGGCTCAGAGAACTCTACGCTTGGAGGCTTAATCATTTTACCCACTGAGCATCCAACAGAACAGTGATTCGCGGAGTTAGATGCATCCCATCACCATCTGGAGGGTGTTCAACCACAGTCTCTGAAACCTCCTCCCTAGACCTTCAATTCAGATGAACTTAGAGGGGCCAGCCAGGTGCTTTGCAGATGACTAGTTCTCGGGTGACAGCAGTGTTGCTGGTCCAAGGACTGAACTGGAGCAGGAGGGGAGGGTGGCGCCATTTCGACCACTCTTCGAGCAAGGGTTTGGGTCCAGTGAACCTCAACTTATCTAATTCACCTAACAAAGCTCCATTAGCAATGACAGACTGTAACCAAGCAATAGAGCTGCAGTTCTCTGTTCATATATTTTGGATGCAAGAATACAAACAATAATGCATAAAATGAGCCATCCATCTATAAAATGTCAGCCATCAGTAGTTTACCTAATAATCCCTTTTTTTTCATCTCACAAAGATCTATCAGTAAATTTGGGAGCTTTAAAAAGCCATTACAGTTTCCAAACGAAGCCCCAAATAAATCCCCACTTTTCCCATTTCTATGTGCCCCCTGGAGAGTTTGCAGTATTTCAGGACACTGAGATTTTGAGGAATGTGCTGGAAACAACCCATATGTACACTATTTCAGGGAATCCCAATGTATTTTCCTCAAGTAATTTCTGACAATAAACCTATACAATTGCATAAAGTTTTGCTTTGTAGAATGAAATTTCATGGGATATCAGTTGCTTATTTGGTGTAACTAAACTACTCCTCATGTGAATTGAAATGTGTGCTCTTTATTGGTAGGAAATGATGCTTAATTTACAACAAAATCTGAGGGACTCGATAATGCATTAAGGAGTGACTTATGCTTCAGTTTTGGTATTATTGACAAAGTTGTGCATTTGGCTTTTTGGCATTTAGTAAACCTCAGTGTTCTATCCCTATCTTTTTAAGGAAACGAGAATGCTAAATTCTCATACATGAATTTGAAATTCTTGCAAACTCATAGGCAACAAAAACGCCTATAAAAGGACAATTTTTATGTTTTTAAATGTTTTCATTTTATTTTATGTATATGGGTGTTTTGCCAACATGTATGGCTCTGCACCACATACATGCCTGGTATCTCAGGAGACCAGAAGAGGGCATCATATACACTGAGACTGGAGTTACTGACGGTTGTGAGCCTTCAAATGGATGCTGAGAATCAAACCTGTGTCTTCTGGAAGAGATGCCATTGCTTTTACCTGCTGAGCCATGTCTCACATCAAGGGGTAGTTTTAAAGTAGACATATCCTAGCAGCTGTCACTAATAAACAAAACCTATCTCCTTTGATGTGCATCAGACATGACATTTGGGCTTTGCTTGTAGCGTCTCTACGAATTACACCTCACTCCCTGCTAGAATGTGTACTTCTCGTTTTTCAAAATTATCTTCAAAATCTGTTAAATGTTTTATAATAATTTATAATACACTTACTTAGTTTGGAAATAGTAAGGATATAGTTTGTAGATATAGTTTGTAGACTGAATAAAATCTGTGTGCAGGAGATTGACGATTGTTTTTCTGCCTTGGGTTTTACACTCTGAAGGCAAAAACTGTAAAAATAAAACTCACTCGCTCATGCGTTCTGTTGTTTTTACTCACAATTGAATGCCACTGAAAAATGCACCAAAGAGACCAATCATTCCCAGGAACTCCACTCGGCTCAGGGTTCGGATGATGGATTCTTCCCAGACGTTAGAGATGCCGTACAGCGTGGCTCCTCCCAAGACCAGGAGGTCCCCTACCAGCTTATTTTCCCCTAGGAAACAAAGAAAGCAGATGGAGTCTCAGAAAAATCTTCACAAGAATCTGGCGCCAGAAAGTTGAGTTTCTCTTGTATGTTTTCTTCTGACACTTTTATAAGAAGCCCGGTAATTTCTAGCTGAAATCAAGTAAAGGCTTTAAAAATATGCTTTCTAGACATGCTGGGATATAAAAAGCTACCTAGATATCTTAGTGGAACTGGAAGTTTTCCCAAAGAATGAAGTTTTTCTCGGTTCAGTTCTCTCCAGAGCGCATGTCTCTGTCTAAGGATGTGTCTGCACATACATGCTAATATGCACACGTATTATTTTTGTTTAAGGGCATTTTCCAACTGCTTGATGAATCTGTCATAAACCCAACAAAGCCCTCTTCAATGGATAGAGAGGAGGTATAAGAGCAATCAGTTTAATATATATATATGTGTGTGTGTATATATATATATATACATATACATATATATATATATAAAACCATTGACGAGCTGTGTACATACTTAGACAAGGAGAATGATAGGATTCTTGAGATTTCAACTTCTCGGACACAGCTTAACATATATATTTTCTCTTTTTCAAACAAAACCACATTTTTTTTCAAACTCATTTTGGACTGATTCTCATTTATGTCCAATTTTTAATTGATTTTTATTGAGCTCTACATTTTTCTCTGCTCCCTTCCCTGCTTCTCCTCTCTCAAGGTCCCCATGCTTCCAATATACTCAGAGATCTTGTCTTTTTCTACTCCCCATGTAGATTAGATCTACGTAAGCCTCTATTAGGGTCCTTATTGTTGTCTAGGTTCTCTGGGATTGTGATTTGTGGGCTGGTTTTCTTTGCTTTATTTAATAAATTCCTTATTCCATAATTGAGCAAACTCTTCCCACGTCAGGTAGTGCAGATGGAAGACATGGAAAGAGAGAATAAGAACCAACAGCAGGCGCCACCTCCCTGATAGAGTCTCTCTCCTGGCTTCTGGCATAGTGCATCAGGTGCCGCGCAGCTGTCAGCTCGGCAGACACACAGAAGTGAAGATTGGGAAGGTTGGCCACTACGACAGCACTAAGGAAGAGACGAACCTCTGAAATCTTTGAATTCTGAGACTCTCTGCACAACTCTGACACTGTAGAAGAAAGCAGTCACTGTTCTTTGGAGAGCACGGAACATCCTCTAGATAGTGGATTCACATGAATCAAAGCAGGGCTTCCACAGACTTCTGTGTTTGGTTACCTCCGGTTACATCTCTCTGCTAAATGGCAACACCCCTTTCCAAGCAACTTCCCTCTCCTGGGCGGGGCTGGGGGGGAGTGGAAGAGACTCTAAAAGATGGCAGCTTGCTGGAGTTGCTCTCAAGAGAATGAAATTGAGGATGTGATTCTGGAGGGGCTATGAGACTTCCTTGAGTCCACGAGGAGCTACCATCGCTATTCAGCAGCTGAGCAGAAAACGTAAGGAGGTCCTGATGAGAAAACAGCCCTGGAGGAAGGTGCCCTGGGTACCTCTGTTGGAGAAGCGAAGGTTGTCTTTATCGGGAAATCTTCAACAACTGATTCATTTTGAAGTGTCAGCTACTGAAGCATGAAAAATCTTTGACTTTGACATAGTCAATACCCCAAATTCTGAAGCTCATTTTTTAGTCACTTTTCATTTAAGAAATATTTCAGACTCTTGTAATGACATGAAGTCACTGTTATGACTATCAATTATTGTTGTACTAGTTAAATAAAGAAGGGCTTCTGAATAGAACTCTTAGTTAATACAATTAATTTCATATGAATGGATTCCTGAAAATGAAGTCATAATGAAACATCCTAATAAGAATTAGAGGAACATCAGTCTATCTTTTAAAAGCCCCAAAAAGTGGACACTGGTTTTTGGTGAGTAGTCTTGTAGAGTTATTTATCTTTTAAGATTTATTTTGATCCATGTGCACACACGGTTGTCACATCTCCAGTAGCTGGCATTACAGGCAGTTGTAAGATGCCAGATGTAGCAATCAGAGTCGGGTCCTCTGAAAGGGCAACAAGTACTCTTAGCTGCAAAGTCCCTCGAACCCACTCTTTACCATCCTAGGCTAGTCTGTAGGCTGACCTTCTAAGGGAAATGTAGTTATCAGTATCTTTATTTATTTGATGATAAATTTTGATAATAACATAATGGAAATACAACTTGAAGTTCAGAAATATTTTCAAAGTCACCACTGACAAAATATTACACAGCATTTATTATTATAATTCTATTCATTAATTTTAAAGTTACTTTAAAGTGGATTTATGTGCATATAGCATGGGCTACAGTGTGGACTTAGATGCCCCTGAAAGCCCACATGTGAAGGCTTGGTTCCCAGCACATGGCGCTCTTGACAAGAAGAGGAACTACTATGAGGTAGTAGGCTGATGAAAGAAGTTCTCTTTTGGAGCGTGGCCTTACAGGGGACATTGACACCCAGTCTGTCCTCCATTCTCTCTCTGCTCTTTGCACGCTACGAATGGAACAGTCTCCCTTCTGCTATACCCTTCCACCATGATGCGCTACGCTACACTTTTCTAAATTCCCACAGTGTCAAAATTAATTATCTGACCGAAAATGTCTTGAACCCTCAAATGGCAATGTTTTGAACTGTTGTAGCTTTCAATTCGGGTAGAGCTGGATAAAGCACACCTGTCAAGAACTACAGGGTCTTCCTTTATGTTGTCTTCTCTTTTTATTGTTGTAAGAATAAAATAGTACACAAAAATGTTTAGCATACCATGTCACACGGCTTGTTCATAAATGATGTTTCTAAAGGGCTAATCTTCATTCTGTTTGAATAGTTCTCTGTTTCCATAGGTGGGGTACTTCTCACTCTAGATTACTCATGGATTCTAGTCGACCTTTCATAATTGTTTTTCAAGAATTAGTTTTCTGGCCGAGCAGTGATGGTGCATGCCTTTAATCTCAGCACTCAGGAGGCAGAGGCAGGTAGATCTCTGTGAGTTCAAGGCCAGCCTGATCTACAAGAGCTAGCTCCAGGACAGCTAGGGCTGTTACACAGAGAAACCCTGTCTTGAAAAACAAACAGAAAAAAAATAGTTTTTCATATTAGATTTTTGCTTAATCACCAGAAACATCTTTTTTAAGATAAATATTTGTTATGTGTGGTACTAGGAGAAGGTTATCTAAAAATCACAATTTGCTACTAGTTCAAGAATAAGTTTTATTATTTGCGAGTATTGGAAGGCTGCTAGTTCCTTTGATGAAAATGGACCTTTAAATACATTGGAGTTTTAAACAGAGAACTAACTGTCTTGTTTTCATGGGACTCTATGATAACTATAAATCTCACATCTGAGCAATGCTCCATCCTGGGCAATCCAGGATGATCATTAACTCTAATTAACTATTTTAAAGCACCTTCATGTTTCCCAAACAAGATACAATTATACAAAAATAAGAATTGAGTTAAGTAGAAAAAAAGTAAAGGTTTTCCATCTGGACTGCACAATTTACCTTGATTTTTGGGGGTGAAACATGAGAATTTTCCAGAGTTATTAGGATAAAATGAGGCAATGTATGAGACAGTGCCTGGGAGCATGGCATATTCAACAAAGACATCACTTTTATCTGACTTCGTTTAGCTGTCTGGCTCTTTTAATGTAGTTTCTTTTCCTTGAAATAAATATAAAGTTATAGCAAATAAGAAATTGTTGCCATGGGTAATTAACATCATCACAAGTGACCTAAATGATGCAATAAATATAGTAGAAAAAGGCTATTTTTAGGAGAATTATATTTTATAATAGGGCATGATTTTAGTTTTTGTCTTCCTCTTAAAACTTCCATCCGTTCATTTATAAGCACAAGTTAGAAAAGTGGAGGCCATAATGACATATTTCTGGGGCTTTACTAAGCCATGATTACATGCTCCAACATACCTAACATTCCCACGATCTACTAGATACCTCAACCACTCACATCGGCAAAAGCTTAGATGGTCTTTTAGAGAAACCTGTGATGCAGATGGGAAGCTAAAAGGTCAAAAGAGAGTTTCCATATTAGGTCTACTGCTCTTATTGACCAACTTGGAAAAGAAATCTATTTTTGAAGACCTTAATGGTATAGAACGTTCTTCTGGTGGGTGACTAGCTGTGCCCGTGATAGGCACACCATGGGTGTTACAGTGAGGCCTCTCATACCAGGAGCTCGGGCACCTTCCTTGACCCCTGTCTGCAGTAGGCAAATAAGATGGGCACGTTTCTTCAGCACCACTCATTCTGGGCCTGGACCTATTTTTTTATATGCACTTCCTGATATCATCTGAGAAAGTTCCTTCTTCACCCAGACTCAAATCAAGGAGGAGTTCCTGGTGTGCAGAAGAGGAAACATGCCAACAAAGGAATTTAAAACAATTAACTATAATGAGGCCACAGTAGTCATGAGTGGGCTAAAATCAACATATTTGAAGACAGAACTGTTGAAATCTTAAGTTAAGAAGAAACAAGACTTAAGCAATATAATAAAAAAAATAAAGTCAGACATTCTCTTTTCCTGTGGAAAGCTCTTGATGTGATTGTCAGAATTTTTGAATGAGTTGAATCATTCATTAAAGTTCTTGTGAGTATCCAAAACATTACAGAAAAGCCTGGTGATCTTGGCTGATTAACGCAAATGAGCCCAATGTACTATAAATACAGAAACAAGACAGACAATTTCAGCGAAAACGCAGAGAAATTTTAAACTTATATTGATTTCAAAAGCAATGGGTTCTTTAAAAATAGCGTATATAATAATTGAGACTTCTGCAAAATGTGATGTTTTACAGAGATAGAGTATGTCCACAGGGACCGCTGCAGCGTGTTTGAGCCATGTCTTCATTTCAGTTACAACAGCAAGTGACCTCTTAAGGGAAGGCTCTCAAATGGATTTCTTGTCTTTTTCTTAACTAGTACTGTTTCCCTACCACTTCAGAGTCAGAAAACATTAGTGTATGTAATCTAATAAATCAGTTCAAAGTTCACTTGCTCTTGGAGTCTAAAATCCTCGGAGTTACTGGAACCGCTGTCTTGGTTGACTATGGAATAAGGTGATGACTGGAATGAGCAGTTAGGGTCAACAGCCAAATTTCTTCTAAATAAAGGCATATACTTCTGTTTCTTCTTTGTTTAAACAGTGCCAAGAAAGCTTAGAAACTGTAGCCAAGCTGTGTCATTTTATCACACAGAATGCTAGTTGCGGTGTTCTGAAAAGATTCCTATCAAGACCACTGACTGTCTACGAAGCACTCCATCAGACCACCTATCAGCTATCTATCAGAGATCCATGGAACAAGGGTTCACAAGGGAGAACTGAGGAGACAGTGGGTTTATATTTCTAGGCCATCTGCCGAGGTAGGGATTTATAACCTTCCGGCTGCAGGTCCAGGAGAATGAGGATGACTCCTGTATTCTCTTTTGTAATTTTGCTTTAGTTGTTAGCAATGGGGAGGGAAGAAAACCTGCCTTAAAGGCAGGGAGCCCAGGAGTCCAGCCTCTCCCATGTCAGCGCTGTGATCTTGGATAACTTGTTCGGCTCCTCCAGAACCTGATGTTCACTTAGGTAAAATATAAAGGAGGCTGACTGTGCTACAAACTTTTGTGATGCCATATATGTGATATCATCCCAGAAATTTCATACAGCCTTGTCTCATAAAGCAAACTTTCCCAATTTGAATATTCATTTTCTAACATTTTAAAAGAAAGGACAGTTCCAAGAACTTTCGAAGGTAAGCACTTCTGGTGACAGCAGAGGGATGTGCCGTTCTTTTCTCTCCTAAAACTCTTTCCGCAGCACAGAGATTTGAAATCTATTGGCAAAGGCCTTCCAGAAACTCCTGGGACCAGGGATCCCCCAGAATATTCACAGGAATCTGCTGACTTAATCACAAAAGTCCGTCTGAGAAGTCCTTAAGCTGTGATCAATATCACAGCTTGTCCCATCAAAATAAATCCAAAAAAATCAATGCAAGAGATGGCATTTCCATCCTCTAGAAATGACACATTCTTCTCTGGTCTTCAGATTGTAAAAACCCATTCTCTGGCCTGTAAAACCAACCATCATCCAGTAGGTAGGAAGTTTTGTCTTTCTCGGACCTGACAGGGCTGGGGTTGGGTGGGGAGGAGTGGGAAAGGCTTTGTAACTAAGTTGCTGATTGACTTGTCAACACTACCTTTAACTAGCCATTCTAAGCCAGCAGCTCTGACATTCAAAATTTCCACCACATAGTTGGTGACATTATTTTTAAAAACTATTTGAATGTCTCTGAATTTTACATCTTATGTTCACCCAGGATATATGCATCAAAGACCTTATATTAGCTATGATTTTAGGAGCAGGGCAAAAACATGAACAACAGGAACTCTGTCAAAGAGCAACCCGGTTCCAAGGATCCCTGTTTCCCTTGACATTCTCGGTATCCCTGGGATCCCCCTCACAGATATGAGTGACCTGGTGACCACCCCAAGACTCACCTGCTCCCTGATGCCTTCCCACGAGGACGTCAGCTCCCACCATGCAGCCCATCCCCAGGATGCAGACCACGATGCCGATGAAATGCACAGCCTTGTACCGGATCAGCAGGAAGAACCAGGAGAGCAAAATCACCACCGGGATCACAAAACAGTCCAGGAGCTATTGGGTGCATTAAAGGAAACAACAGCAAAAAGTTCAGGGACGCTAGGACACAGACTCTGTCGGAAAGTCCTTCGCTGAACAGCCTTCGTTAGAGGCAGAGCAGAGGCAGTGAAAACTCCCTCAGCCCTAGACACAAGATAGCTTTGTGTCTCACTTAACCAAAGACATCCTCTTGAGACTTGAGCAAGGGGAAGATGACAAATGAATAAGGCTGATTGGGGGTGAAAGCTTTCCAGCCCTCTTCTGTGTCCAGTTTCACTGCCCGTCTTTTTTAGGGTCCTGAAAATGCTCCAAGGAACACCTAGGCCATGGGGAGGCTACCTTGAGCCATTTTACATGGTTCCACCACTTCAGGAGTACCTATGGGAATGAAAGGTGTGGTCAAAGAGGTTTTTACAACGTTTTGTAAATTCATAGAACCTAGAAAATGTGTACTTACTTTTTTTCAGGCAATTATCGGCCTTCTAATACTGAAAAGTCTTTAATAGTTGTTGTTTGATTTTTAATATCACCATACATATTGGGGGACAAATAGTGTGGCATGAGTTACCGAGATCTGGTGCAACTGACCTTGGTGAGGTAGAGAGAGAACATGGGGACATGAGGGGAATGAGAGGAGTCTCGTGCAGGGAATCGGAGCCCCTGCTCTGTGGCGTTGGACTGTCCAGTACTCGGGAGGCCTCTAGTTCTTACTAGAAAGGTAATGACCCCTTCAACCCTCCCTGGTTATCAGCGTTAATGCAGAGGGAAGCTTCTTGTAGTTGGGCATGGTGCATCATATTTGTAATCCAAGTACTGGAGAAACTGAGGCAAGCAGATCATGAGTGTGGGGCCAGTCTGAGCTACAGAAGGAGCCCATGTATGTAAAACAGAAGAAAAAACTGAAGATATAGTGCAACCAGTATATCGCTTGCCCAGAAGGCACAAAGCCCTGGGTTCAAGTCACAGCACAGCATGGAACAGGTCCATGGTAGTGTGTGCTTCTGAATCCAGAGGAAGAAAGCTCAGAACTTTGAAGTCATGCTTGGATACATACTGTGTCGGAGGCCTGGGCCATATGAGATCCTGCCTCAACAATACCAAAATCGGCTTAATAAAAGGATATATAAAAACTGAATTACAACAACATATTTTAAAATATGAGTCCCCCAAAGGTTGTTTATAAACCCCCAAATGCTTTAGGCCCCCTGGACTTGGATTCGTCCCTATCACTTTGATAAATCTACTGAAAGTCATTGCCCAATGTTGGGTCCCTCCACTAGGCAAATCAATATCCCACAGTACTTCAACTTATGTGTTGTGAATCAAAGATTTGTCATTTACTGTACTGCTTGTACAAATCCTTGCTAGAATCCTAAGCATTTGGCTTTGGGGCTGCAGCTGCCAGCACAAGGAAGGGATCCCTAATGCTCCTCCATTCCCACTGCCTACCTCTCAAGAATCAGTACAATCTGATCTGTCTCTTCCATCTTGTAAATGTCTGCCATCCCTATTCATGCCACCCTCTGCCACTCGTACTATCAAGACTGAACCAGCATCCTCTCCTACTGGGACCGAGCCCTTCCTGCTAGCCCCAGAGCCTTCACTCCTGGAGGCTTTCCACTTCTTAAATGCTTTGCTCTAATTCTTGAACTTTCTGTCTTACTCATTTTTCACCATGTATTTTATATGCTACCTCCTCAAGAAAGCCTCTCAGGTCTGAAGATGAAGTCAGGTCCCACTTGACAGTTTCCTTGCACATTTTTCTCCTCCATAGCTCCCACTGCAACCTTACTTAGTCAATATATCATTTTTTGGCACAATGTCAGGCTTATTCACTTGCCTGTTTTCAGCATGCAGAATACTGCCAGGCTCATGAGAAGTACCCAATAATAGGTACTGAACAGGAACTCACAGATTTCTAATGATCTGAAGCATCAAAATCCAGCCTCTGAGATCAGTAAGGTCTGGGAAAGGGTTGGGTATTCACATGGTATCTCTGAATGTCAGCCTAGTCAATTGGGAGCGCAAACAGCCCTCAGAATCCCTGCTCTTGCCAAAATGTGTGTGATGTGAATAAACCCTCATGCATCTCTATTGATTGGACTTTTCTCTTGACAGATGACAAAGGTACTCAAAGTACTCAATCATCTCCAGGGTTGCTGAAAGATGACGGAGTCACAGTGAGAAAGCACCACGTGGATGTCGTGCCAAGAAGTATTGTGAGGACAGGGGTCTATTCTCAGGGGCACAGTACCCCTGGAGGGGCTCTACATAAGCAACAGCAGCTGGTGGGATTGTGTTTCAGCAGCCCAGAGTTGCTCCCTTGCACAGTTAAATTAACAATATAAGTTAATGATCTGTCTGATGTGGTTATATGCGCTATGTTCGATTTTACAACTGGCTTCAGATGCCATGTAATGAAATTTCAGTTTGCCAGTGAAAATTATTCTCTACACATAACACAACCGTTGTTTCATTTTACAAATTAAAACTGATTGGATTAAGTTGAAATATTTCATTACATGCCATACAGTTGGGATTGCATCTGACTGGCAAGAATCTTTCTGCAGAGCTAATGGCTTCCCTTCCTGGATCATTGAGGCCAGACCAGCAGCAGCACATCATCCAGCCTTTGAAAAGCGCTTTTTTGTCTCTCAGCATCACTGGAAACACTAGAGCTCTTGGTGAGCCCTGGGCCTGTTGCTTCTTGGTTTGGGAATGAAAATCCTTGCTTGTAAGCATTAGCTGGTCCCAAGAAAGGAAAGTGTTTAGAAAGAAGAGAAGGAAAGCATGTTATCAAGTCAGGGCTCATATGATGTTTGTTAAGAGAAATTTGGTACTCAGTATGGAGTGGGGCTTGGTAAATGATGCTTGAATAGTAGATACATCCCTGATTTCCAGAAGGAACATTCGAGATAATCCAGGCCATTACTGGCATTTGGAGTCCAGTGTCAATTCTTCATTTGGTAAGACTCTCTCTTCTCTCTGAAGAAAGCCAGAACTGCTGGCCTCACCCTTAAAGCAGGCCTACAACTCTACCAGTGAATGCCCTTTCGGGGTATTATCTCCCCAGGGCAGAATCTCCGAGATCCAGTTCTTTGAAAGTCGGGCACTCACAAGTTTTAAGAGAGTGATACACAGAAGGCCATACAATTTCTGGTCTCAACAGTGGCAAGGAATAATGACACTTTTGAACAGTATTTCAGTGGCAATCAATGACGACCACATTGAGTTGCTAACACCGAGGTCTCAACATGATGTTTGTCACTACAGGGGAGAAACTGTTTGGCAGCTGGTATTAGTAAATCAGTTATTAGTTTTTAGTGACTTCCTTCCTTCCTTCCTTCCTTCCTTCCTTCCTTCCTTCCTTCCTTCCTTCCTTTCTTCCTTCCCTCCTTCCTTCCTTTCTTCCTTCCTTCCTTCCTTCCTTCCCTTCTTTCTTTTTGACCTCCAGCTTAACTTCTTATCAAAGACTGCTCAGATCATAAAAGAGAGAGTCAATTTGCTGGCTGTCCACTACTGAGAATGTTAAACAAGAAAATGTGAGCAAACTTACCTTCAGTTCGATGACTAAACAGTTTATAAGAATTAAATCTCAAAAGGAATGTTTTTCATAGCCCTTGTATATTTTGGAGAGATTTGGGTTTCTCGTAATTATTGCTCACCCTGAAAGCTTGGAGAGGTGCAGGTAACAAGATCAAACTTGCTTTTGCTTAAACTGAGCCAGATTTAAACCAAAGTCCTCAAAGATTAAAGGTGCACGCTTCTTCCCTTGGCTTCTTAAGACCAATAAGTGTTCCACAATTTTTAAATATAAAAAGCATGGTCTAGAGGAAAATAATTTTAAATTGTCAGCAACTATGACCAAACAGAAAGAGGGAAGATTTCTTTAACAAAACAATTATTTTTAACAAGAAATGCAAAACTAAGAGTCCAGCAGGAAAACAGATCTTCCCTGTCGAACATTGAATGCGATGAGCTTCTCTTCACGCTGAACTGGTTCTCATGGCCTCGGTCATAACTGGAGGGTTTTAGAGATACTAAACTTAGCCTCCTGGTGGGGCAGAGGGGATTAGCTTTAAGCCCATTTCTCAGTGGAAGAATAAAATTCCAGTACCAAAAGATAAATAACCATTATTTTATGACCACGTCATACTCTGAAACATCTCAAAGAATACAGGAGCTGGGCATGATGGCAAAAGTCTATATCACTTGGGAGACAGAGGCAGAGACCATGCGTTCCAGACTAGTCTTGGCACAGAGGAAGACCTAGCTCAGAAAACAAAACAACCCAAACAAAGTGGGGAAATGTAAATACTATGAAAATTGGTCATTGCTCTTGGACTTACGTACAGCTTCTCCACTTAAGGATTTAAACTAATTCACTCCCCTTGCACCTTAAAGCCTCACTCCAGAGGGATTTGGGACCTCTTACCTGACTTTGTTGACGGATAGCAGTGGGATGGTTCTTATAAGCCATGGTGACAGCACTGGGGTTGTTTCTGCACCTTGCAGTTTTCACATTTACTGAGGGTTTCCTGGTTTTGACTTACAATTTGGAAAGAATCCTTTAAAGGAGCAATGGCTGGCCTCATTTTTTTAAGTAAGGAAACTGGAGTTCCAGGAGTAGAGCCAATTAGTGTTAGAATTTGGGCCTAAAATACTAGTGTCTAGACCCTGAGGTCAGAATTGAAATGCAACTTACAGAAGTTAGAGGTCTGTGTTGACGATACTTTGAGGATGACAGATTGTGTGTGTGTGTGTGTGTGTGTGTGTGTGTGTGTTGCAGTAGCATTTACCTTTCCTCTCTTTTTCATTTCCACCAATTTCTGACTTTCTTGCCACTACATTCTTGCCTGTAGTCTTTAATCATATTTGGTTATATGTCCATGTACTGCACACACACACACACACACACACACACAGCATCCATATCTTCCTGTTGGCATCTACTCAGGTTTTTCTCTCCATTTATGCTACCTCCACTTGCCTGTATTCCATAGACCACCTACCTC